CTTTTTTTTTTTTTTTTTTTTTTTTTTTTTTTGGTACCAGGGATCGATCAAACTCAGGACCTTGTACTTGCAAGGCAGGTGCCAAAACCACTGAGCTAAATCCCTGGCCCGAAGCATTCTGAATTTTGGGAATGTAATTTGGGTGTGGGGTTTACTCTTCACAGCCTGCACTGCTCACAAGCTGCTTTGGGCATAACCATGGGTCGGACCCCCCACTTGTCCCCCTTCTCTCTTTGGAAGCTGCAGCAGCTGTTACCAGGGTGAGGCGCATTTGACCTTGGGACCTATTTGCACGGAGACTGTCAAGGGTTAGGGGGTTTACAGCCTCTGCGTGGCTCTCGGCAGGGGTGTTACATTGAGCTGCTTGAAGTGAGCCCAACGTCATGGTTATGTGTGGGGATGGAAGCCACAGTGGCTTTTTATTCTCTGCCAGAATACAAGCATACCTTGGCCCCTGTGTTATTCATTTTATTGAGCCAGTTTACCTTTTAATTAGGACATCCTTTGACAGCACTTCATGCCTGTAGATTTGTCTTTGTATCATTGGCGTGGTTTTTTGTTTTTTTGTACCAGGCATCGAACTCAGGTCCTTGTGCTTGTGAGGCTGCTGCAGCACCACTGAGGAACGTCCCTGGCCCATATCAGTCGTGTTTTCATGGAGTATATTTTTTTTCCACAAATGGACTTTAAAAAATTCTAAATGTGGGGCCAGGGATTTAGCTTAGCGGTGCTGCCACCTGCCTTGAAAGCGCAAGGTCCTCAGTTCAATCTCCCATACCAAAAAAAAAAAAGAATGAAGGGGCAGGATCTAAATTGAGCTTGTGGAAGTAGCCATACACTTCCTTTTTTGTTTCTGCTATTGTCATTTTAGGGAAAGATAAGCACACTTAATAATGGCTTGTCCCTGTGGATTACAAGGACCTATCATGTGTCTGACTGATTTAGCTGTCTATAATATCTTCCTCTCTGAGGACCTGTCCCCAGTTAGGGAGAAAGGGTGGAGTTTCAGTCTAACTGCTGAGAAGGGTCAATGTGGGGAGACCGCAGCTAGGGGCGCTCTCCAGAAAGCTAAGTAGGTTTGAAAACAAAAATCATGCCGGGCGTGGTGGCGCAAGCCTGTAATCCCAGCACTGGGGAGGCTGAGACAGGAGGATCGCTGTGAGTTCAAGACTACCCTGGGCTACATAGTGAGTTCCAGGTCAGTCTCAACTATGTAGTGAGACCTTGTCTCAAAAAAGCACACCCCCCCTAAAAGCACACCCCCCCGCCAAAAAAGAAAGAAAATAAAAGTTATATTGTAATTTAGCAGTTATAAACTCTCTTCATAAAGTCAATCTGGTGGATGTTGATTAAAAAGAAAAGCCTAGCACATTTATCATTGATTTTATCTGTATGATCACTTGGAGTTTGGCAGCCTATAGGCAAGAATAGACTTTTTTTTTTTTTTTGGTACCAGGGATCAAACTCAGGACCTTGCCCTTATAAGGCAGATGATACAGTGCCACTGAGCTAAATCACCAGTCCTTAGAATAAACAATTTTTTAAAGAAATTAAGAGCATGTACAATCAAAGTATAAGCACTAAAATAAAAAGGCAGGTTGGAGAAAGAGCCGTGTTTAAGAACTGTTGTTAGCAGGGCATGGTGGTGCATGCCTGTAATCCCAGCACTCGGGAGGCTGAGGCAGGAGAATCGCTGTGAGTTCGAGACCAGCCTGGGCCACATAGTGAGTTCCAGGTCAGTCTCAACTACATAGGGAGACCCTGTCTCCAAAAAACCAATAAACAAAAACAAACAAACAAAACTTGTTAAGGGACTATAATAGCGACTGTAACCTGCTGTCTCTTAGGCCCTTCCACTAATGAAGATTTAACTGTGAGTCTGATATTTTGTCATAACTTTTTCTAATTTTAGCTGCAAAAAGATTAACAATTTAATGATTAAAAAAACAATTCTCGCTAAAAATTTT